TGTAATGTAACACGATTAGGATATTCAAAGCACGCGTCCATTTAATTAAAAATACCTTTCCTTGTGCATATACTTTAAAATCACAAGAATCGGTACAAAATGATTCATATATATTTAAGCTTATATTGTATACCACCAAAGGAACTTTTGGACATTCCCCTCAGAATTCCACTGCAGAATAGATCTATAAAAGAAAAAAAATTATTTATAAATTATTAGTTTATGCTATCCATTTCCGTTATTTTTCTTTTAAAAAATATAAAATGAAACTATAATGATCATTATAATGAAGATGAATATGAATTAATGAGCATTTTCTAGCCAAATTTCTTTTTATACGAATGTATTTTTCATAGCCATATGCATACGTACACTCCGGAGATCGGCATGTACAAATAGATCTACATATTTAGTGGGGGCTTTTCTATAAAAGGATGTTAGATTAAATTCTCATTGTTTCGACAATTTTGTTTAAATTATTCGAAATGAATTTACACTTGTTTACTTTTATACGTCGAAAAACTTTTTATATTAAATAAAATTTATTTTATACTCCGAGGCCCCGAGTATTCACATGAACTAAAAGGTTATGGTTGCACGTAACTTATATTCTACTTAAATTAATTATAGCAATGTTGTATAATTAAAAAATGGAAATTTTAATACCGATGCTGAATAAACATTTTAAAATTCTACCACAATTTATAGCAGTGTTGAGAATTTCTTGTGACCAAACAATGTTTTTGGCCTTTGGCAGACCAAAATAGTCAACGGCCAATAGCCAAACTTTTTGACCGAAAATTTCTAATTTATATAACATTAACCAATCACATTGCTAACTTTTTTTTATTTGGCCTGAATAATTTTTTTTTGCACAATTCAGCCATTGGCTGGCCAAATAGCCAAGTGACAACACTGATCTATAGTTGTAATATGACTAGAAACTTCGCTTAGGCAAAATCTTTGCCCCGAAACCTCCGAAACCTCCGAAATTTCTGAAAAGCATGGTGATTGTCGAAATTCGCAAAAAGGTTTAACCTAAAAATTAAAATCGATCGCTAGTTATAAATAATTGATTTCATCACAAAAATTTTTTATGCTTGGTAATAATGATCTTCTAGTTCATTATGACAATAATGTCAGTAAATTGAGCAGTATTGATAGTAACCCTTTCGTTAGACAAACAGGAGGAAACGTTGATACGTCACAAAATCGTTACACAATTGATAAAAATTTTTTTTATATTATTTT